GCAAGATTCTGTGTTATTGAGCCAGCACAGGATCCAGCTGAGAGTAGTTTTTTACTAAGTGTTTGTTGAATGAGGGGATGAGTAATGAGGGGCTGGAGGCCTGAGCAAACCTGATCCTCAGTTTGCAATACAGGAAGGGAGAGAATGGTGTGCCTCTCCCCAGGAGCATGAAAAATACTGCTGGGTCATGAGCCACATAGGTCCCTTAAGAGAATGCATCCTTAAACTGAAAAGTCATTTAACTACAAGGAGGCAACTTAAGGTGCCCAGATCATTTTGGTCTGTTTTCCATGGTGGCTACTTGCTATCTTCACAATGTTCTCTCTGCCAGTTTCAGGAGCTGCTGTGGCCCACTTACTGAATTAATTTCCTGACCATCCCTATCCCTAAGCGTCAGGAGGTAGTAAGAGTCTGAAACTCCTTTCCAAGCTCACGAAACTTGGCAAGTCCTCCTTTCCAAGAACCTGGGCAATTCCTCACCATCTCCCAAGGGAAGTGTCACTCTTTCTTGGGAACACCCTTCGTCGATCTCCACTCTTTCCTGACATGTATCTTTAAAAAACTTCCTGTAGCCATTTGAGTCCATCCTTCTACTGTCCACCCACTGGGAAGATCTCACTTGTCTCTGTATCCTTAAAGTACCTGGAACTAAATAGATACATAGCAAATGCTCATGAACTAACCAAATGAGCTAACAGATAACCTGGGTTTCAGTGAGCCCAGACTAGCATTTCTCTCTATCGTGCAGAGACCCCGCCTGGTGCCATATGCCATTCTTTAAGTTTCTTTGGTCTCCGAGAGCACAGGAGGCAGGGTTTTGCCTGATACAATTAAGTGCTTAAAAGCTCCATTGTTTTTCTTATAATAAATCTCTTCCTCTCCAGTTGCATCCGAAAGAGAAGACATAGGCTGTGCAGCTGCATGAACCAGCTCAGTAGACAGGCAATAGGGCCAGAAAGCTATTCCCTGTTGCTCACACAAGCAATAGCTCAAGCTCAACCAAACTGCTCAACAGACAGCCTTGGACAGCTGGGTGCTTCCCTAGATCATGAGGTGTGTGGCTCGGACAGATCTGACACACAAAGTATGCCTATCCCTAGAAGTTTCTTTGGGAGAATCTGTGCTCAGAAACACTCAGGATTGTCTGGGAGATAGACGCAGCAAGAGTGGGGTCCAGGGAATCAGTCTCCAAGAGGAGATCTCATTCCTTTCATAAGGAGACAGGAAGAGACCCTGGGGAGCTCTCAGGGATAGGCCTAGGCCTGGTTTAGCTGTGAGATGCAGCTAGGTCAGTTAAGTCATTGGTGTGATGAGGAAAGGAGGGAGGCAACTCCCTTCAGGCAAACTCCCACCCTAGACAGGAGGCTCCATGCAGCTGTGGCAGCAGCAGCAGCAGCAGCAGCAACAACAGGGCAGGGATCTCTTCCTCTTCCTCCCACTAGCTGAGAACTAAGGCTTAAATTAGCACCTTGGAAACACCCAGCTTTGCTGGCTGTGCCTTCTCTCTCGACTCCTACCACTCCCCTGGGCCTCCTTTTTAAGCTTGAGTTTACCTTTCAAGTACATAATAAAAAAATAAAGATGCTTTCCCCCTTAGAGCTCATCTTTCCAAGTAAGGAATGGCCTGTGGATTCTCCCCACCACTATGGGTGGAGGCAGGGCTATTTGATGATGGAGTCCTGTGACAGGCTTCTATTCATACAGCTTGTCCAGAAAGGGGCAATGACACTGACACCAGCATTGTCCTATTTCCCTTATAACTTAAGGAGGCAGCCCCTACCCTGCCCTCAGGGGGGACTTACACTGAGGGAGTGAGGAAGAGAAATCAACTTCCCCTGAACTATGAGCCACATCTGCATCTGCATTGCTAACCACTGTGTCCCCAACACCTAGTAAAGTATCTGTAGCCGAGCAGGTGCTCAGTAGATATTTGGTGAATCAATTTGCTGAATCAATGGTATCAGGTCCCCATGATACCATTTGGAGAAGAAACAGGGGAGCTATTGTTTATACTTTAAAGAGATAATTTGTCTTTATTTCATAAACAGAAAAACTGAGGAGAGCAGAAAAACAGGAAAAAGGAGAGACTTCCTAGAGGTATCAATAAATAATAGCAAAAAATGAAATTGGTCATAGCTGAGCCTGAGCCTGGGCCACCAGTTTTTATGCTCGACCCAAATATCCCTAAAGAGCCACTTTGCCCCTGTCTTCTGCCTTTTACCTCTGTGGCATGAAGTTTTGATTCTTTATGCTCCAAAATGAAGGGTGTAAGGAATAAGGTGCAGCAAGCTTAGGCTCCTGGTAAAACTTCATACAAGATTCTGCTGGTCTCAACAGTACACAGGACATTTAAGGAGGAGTTTTGGAGTGCCTCTAGACTTCAGCCTGGAGACAGGGTTCAAGAGGCAGAGATCTGAAGGGTAATGTCTATGGCCCCCAAAGGGGGATGACTATATTGCCATTTCCATAAGACTCTCACTCAATCTCAACAAAGTATCCTCTTGCAGAGAAGGGCTCCTTTAGCCTTCAAGAAAAGAGTCTGAAGGCAGCAGCCACAGTTTTTCTGGTAAATGCTTCCTTGTCCGCAAAAACCTCTCCTACTCCAGGTTCAGTCACATAGACCGGAAGCACAGTCCTAAGGAGTCCTCTGGGGCCACTACCTAGCCATACTACCATTTACGACTTCAGGCAATAACAGAAGTTCTCTCACAACTAAGAGACTTGTGAATCCATTTCTTCCCCCCTTTCCCTGGACAGCTGTTGCCTCAGGAACCCCAAATGGGAGACAAGAACCAACTCTTTGCTTCCTTCTCCTGACTCACTTGGTCCTCCTCCTTCATCTACCCTCCCTTTTGGTAACTGATTAGATGCTCAGAACTGGAAGAACAATCTAGTTCCAGAAGCCAGGTTGAATGGAAAGAGAGTCCAGAAAGGAAAGTTCTCTTAGCCCAGCCCAAGGTCCTTCTGCAAGGTCATGGGACCAACTTCCCTCCAGGGTTCTCTGGCCCCCAAATAATCCAATGATGGTAGTAGGCTAGGAAAGAAATTCTGCAGCATCTCTCTCCCCAATTTAATATCGTACACTTCTGTAAAGCTACTGTTTTAGCTTCTAGAACTGTCTAAGTAATCACAGAAGAGAGGGGAAAAGCTACTTATCTCCTGCTTAGTGGCGGTTAATGATTCTATTCTCTCTATCCCCCAAAAGGTGCATAGGGTCTGTCATGGGTCTTTGCCAAGGCCCATGCTGGCTGCTGGAATGGGCAGGTTATTTGCCCAGGAAACCACAAAGCACATCTGTCAGCCAGGGGCCTCCAGACCAAGGGTAGAACCTGTTCCTCACCTCCCTGCCTAACAGAGGGAGAAGGCTTAGGGAGCCCCAGAGCTTCAGGACTTGGAGAGCTCTGCTCCCTCCGGCAGTGCTCATTGAATAGGGTATCCATACTTTCAGGTTCCAGGCCTGCCCCAGCCTTTTTCCAGCTTCTCCTGGGAATCCACGGGGAAAGGAGATGGAAAAGGGAACAGAGCAGGATGCTCCCTCCCTTTTCCCTGTCTCTATACCGGCTGGCTAGGCCTGCGTTCTCCTGCACCGACGCCGTCCGGACAAGCTAGTGAGGTAGCCCCCCAGGCGGTGGCCAGCAGGCATGGTCTCCCCCAGGCCTGGCCTCGGTGCGCCCGCGTCGCCCTCCCTCTCCATTCCCTCCACTCCGGCACGATGACATCATTCCTCCCTGACGCCGGGACAGCGGACAGGCGGCAGAATCAGCGCCCAGCAAGGACTCCAAGCACGTAGGCCTAGGAGACTGGGGGGGCTCTTTGGAACCGGTGGGCACAGGCAGTTCCAGCGCGGCCCCGCCCTCTCGCCATCAGTGTCGAAGCGCTCTCTTCCGCGCCCTTGTTTCTCCATCTCGCCGACGCGCACTCGCCTCGCCTGCTCCGGGACCCTCAGCCCAAACTGCCTGCGTTCTCCTTCGGAGAGGAACGGAATTCCCGCTAAGCGGTCCCTGACCCCGGCCTCGCGTTCCTATCCACATCCGGCGAACTGGCAGGCAGGCCCCTCGTCCCCTACACGACCGCTGCCAGTCCCTCTGAGCTTGACGGCGCCCCCGGCCCCCTCGCCTGCCGCGAGCATCACAGGCCTCTAAGGCTAAACGCCTACCCACCACCACTTCCCCATCACAGCTCCCTGCGCCTGCTGCCGGCGGTGTCCGATCACAGTTTCCTTGCCATCCCCCGCTAAGGTCCTCCACCAGGGAGATGCACCATTGTGCCCCCTCTGCTTCATCCGACGGAGCTCGCCTAAGCTCCCTCGGCCTGCCTCCGCCGACCCTGCCCTTCGTCTTTACAGGCCCCTTAGCTCTCACCCCGCGTATTCTCCCACGGTGTTCTTGGCCTGCAAGTGCCCCTCCCCGGCGATGCGTTTTCACAGCTCTCTTTACCCCATCCGATGGCGCCCCTTCCGCACAGCGCCCATGGCCTGATTCCCTCCTCGCTCTCTGCGGCGCCCCCTCCCGGCCCTGGCCTACCCGCCGCCCGCCCCCTCACCAGCGGCTGCATCTCCGAGTGCGCGGTGGGCACCTGGAACCGGTCGATCTCCTCCATCATGGTGCCGGCGGGCGAGCGGGCCGGGGGCCGGGCGCGGCCGGGGACGCCGACTTGACCGCACGGGGCGGCGGCCCCAGGAGCCCGGCGGATGGTGCAGACTAGGCCGCCCGAGATGAGTCGGGCGGGCAGGCGGCCCGGCGTATGGGAGGGACGGAGAGGGGGCGAGAGGTTCGCGGGCGGGCTGAGGCCGGCGTGGTTTGGTAGGCTTGCCTAGTGCTACAGCGGCTGTCGCCAGGCCGAGCTGCAGGTCTTGCCTCGCCTCCTCCTCCGCCGCCGCCTCCTGTCAGCAGCTCAGCCACTGCGGTGACTCGGCAACTCCACTTCCGGGTCCGGGACACCGCCCGGGCTCTGCATTATTCATGAGGAGGCGGTGCCTGGGTGCCCCCAACCCCGCCCACATGCGGGAGTTCCGAACGCTCACGGCGGTCCGGGGTATTATTCCTGAGGGGGCGGGGCTTGGTGTAGCGGGCGGATCCCCGCGCACCCAGTCCCGCCTCCTCCCCTGTTCGGGAGTGGGCACCGGAGGCGCCTGCGCCTTGATTGCCAGTCGGTTGCTGGGTAACCGCGTCAGGGAGGAGCCAGTTCTTTCCTGCAAGGGCGCGGGGACCGACAACGACGGCTGTCCCCAAAGAACCCCTGTGACTGGGAATTAAAGTGAGAGTCCGGATTTCCTGTGCGTGGTCGAGGAGACGGACAAACTTCTTGTCGTCAGGCGAGAAGGCGTTCTGTAGGCCCTCCAGGGGTTGAGATACTACCTTCTTCTTTGAAGATGCCCCCTAAACAGCTTCGTAGGCAGGTAACGCACACCTCTACTAGCCCTCTTCTGATGACCTCTGACCTTCACCCCTTCACTCCAGTGACCACTGATTATACCTCCGCTGCTGCTCCTTGACCTTCTTTTCCCTGTTGACCCCTAACGTCTCCTCCTGTGACCCAGGCCTGTACTCCCACTGATGTCTGACTCTGTCCTGCTTTGGCCTACTGACCCTGGCCTCCTCTCCCACACTGCTCCTGACCCACTCTTTCGTACCTCTCTCTCATTTGGCCTTCTATCACCACTGCATTCCCTCTCTCCTCTTACTCCTGACCATCCCACCCTCCTTAACCACCCCTCCCACTTCCACCTGTACGTTCCTCGTTGCCCCCTCATTCTTGTCTCAAAGGAATCATTTGTCCAGCCCTTTGCCATGTGGCCTGCACTGGGCTAGATGGGGACACAGGCTTTGCCCTTTGGGAACCCACAGAAAGAGTACAAGAGAACTGTAAAGAAGACAAAAACAAATTACGTGCAAGAATTTGGTTTAGGTTTTCTGTGCTGGGAGACTTGTGAAGAGAGAGGTCGGGTAAAGAGGAAGGGAGAGAGACCACTTTCCCATCTCTGGCCTCCAACTCACACACTGTGCACCTCCAAACACTGGCCTCTGAGTTTTCTGGAGCCCCTGTGTCCACTCCTGTGACTCATTCAGTCATGTGGACATTGTGTCCTTGTTGCCACCTGGCCAGATGTCATCCTTTCTCACAGAAAGCCCAAGAGTCAGCCCCTTTACCCACCCAGCACAGAGTTCTGCTTTCCTCCTCAGCATTACCCTGGAAGTGGGTTAGTCCCAGCTTCTCGAGGAGCCCTCTGTGGGAAGTCATTCAATCTGTCAGGAATCACCTTTTCCAAACCGTTTTTGGATTACCACCCTGGGACTAATATGCAGTTTCTGGCTCTGTGAAGCAGAACTTCTATTTATTTGTTCTCAATTTACCTCACTCAGGCCTAGGTATTTTGAGGTTTAGAGAGTGAATCTGTGTCCATTCTGTTTGCAACTTTACAGAATTTGGTCTGGCCTCCTCCATATTAGCCTTTTGTTCCTCTCCTTCTTTCACCTGGACTTCTGCAGCAGGTGGGCCCTTCTTTTTTAGATCTTTGCTGTCTTCAGGAGGCTGTTATTCCCGTATAGCTATGCCCTAGATATATGTCAAGTTGAGTTGTGTTTTGAAGCTCGTGGGCTGTACTTAGGCCTACTGACTCTTAATTTACATGCAATTTTTAAAAAATAAACTTTATGTCCTGGTTTACATACAATAAAATGGACCATTTTAGTTGTACATGTTGACAAGTTTTGACAAATTTATATACTTGTGTAACCACTGCCACACTCAAGAAGTAGGACACTTAACATTACCTCAGAAAGTTCTCTGACACTTCATCTCAGCAGCTCCCTTGCCCTCCACCACCCCAGCTCCAGGTAACCACTGATTAGATTTATCTTTTCTGACACTTGCAGTTTGAACAATTTTGAGAATCTATTTTCCCAGCCCATTAGGGGAGACATTAGAGAAATATTAGGAGAGACATTAGAGATTAGTTGCCCTGTGAGAAGAGAGAGGTGACAACTGACAGGAAGCAGAGGAACCTGGGACAACAGGCCCTGCATTGTTTCCTGGGGGAGGGGTTGTTTTAGTACAGTGTCAATATTGGTGTGTGGAATGGAGAAAAGGCTGGGTTGTCGTAGGTTGTATTCATTATACTCTTGTTTCAGTGAAGCCCAATTTGGGTCAGTGCTAAGTTGGGTGGGGGATAACCTAGAGATGTTTGAGAAGTTGTCCCTGTCCTCTGAGAGCTCAATCCAAAGAGGGAGACAGAATACAGGCACACAAAGATAAAGGAAAATGGGATCCCTGGGGCTGAGAGGAACAGAGGCATGTAGGTTAGAGTAGCAGAAAGCCTTCGGGGAGAAGACAGGTAGGACTTGGATGCCTGCAATGGAGGGGAAGTTCAAGGTCAGGTTGTCAGGGGACAGAGAGGAGTTTAAACTTCAGTGGTTCATGTCAATCCACTGATCAGACCTTTCAGTGGCTCCCTGTTGCTCTCAGGATAGAGTACCCAAAGTCCAACTTGTTTGATATGGCCTACAAGGCCCTGCATGGTCTCGCCTTTGCTGCCTACCCTACTTCAGATCCCTCCGTTGCTCATGAAAGTTCACAACCACAGCACATTAAATTGCCCTCACTTCCTAGAAAGTGACACCCATAGTCTTTCCTCTGGCCTTTAAAACTACTGTTTCCTCTGCCTGCCTGGTATACTCTTTTCTGTCTGCTGCCACCCGCTCGGCCCCCACCCCTATCTCTGCTTCATCTCCTATTGATACGTTGAGTCTCAGCTTGGCCTCATATTCTCCTACAAGGGATTAAGTGCTTTTTCTGGAGGCAAGACAGGGTAATATCCCCACTAGGCTATAAATTCTGTGATGGTAAGGATTATGTCTGTCTCATTCATTGTTGAATCCCCTTTACCTGTCAGTACCTGGAATATATTAAATTCTTAGAAAATGAATTGAATATGAATCTTGAATGCCCTTAGCTGTTCTTTGGAAATTTTGATCTGTGTGTGTTTGAAGGATAGGAACGGGAGAGCCTGGGATGGGGAGACTCATGACTGGAAAAGGACAGTGTATAAACATGTTCTCTGTATTCATGTTATATCTGCTTTGATTGTAGGGCTAGAATGATTTAAATTTGAACCACAGTATACCTCTGCCTTAAGAACTGGGTGTTAGAAAATAAGATGTCAAAAATACTGATGATGCAAATATTCATTCTCATTAAACAGTTATTTATTTATGTACCAGGTACTGTTCAAGGTATTGGTGATACAGCAACAACACCAACAAAAATCCCCTGCTTTCATGGAACTTATCTTTCAGTTGGAGGTAATTGTAAACAAACAAAGTATAGAGTATCAGATGGTAATAGGTGCCGAGGAGAAAAATAAAGCAGGGAAGGGAACTAGGAAGTGGAGGAAGACAGAAGATTATGATTTAAATAGGGTGGTCACTGAAGTGATATTTGAGCAAAGACCTGAAGGAAGTGAAGGGGATAACTATGTGATATCTGAGGGGAAAAGGATTCCAGAGAGAGGACGTAGTAAGTGTGAAGTCCCTGAGGTAGGAGAGTGCTACACATGTTATCGATCACTAAGAAAGGGAGGGTAAAGTGGCAGGAGATAAGGCCAGAGTAGTGCATCTCCCTACCCCATAACCAAAACGCCAAACCTGTTGCCGTTGAGTCGATTCCTACTCATAGCGACAAAGGACAGAGGCGAACTGCCCCATAGTGTTTCAGTGAGCAGCTGGTGGATTCGAACTGCCAATCTTTTGGCTAGCAGCCTGAGCTCTTAACTACTGTGTCACCAGGACTCCCCCTACCCCATAGGGTTAATCAAATCCAACGAACCAACCCACTGCCATTGAGTCATATAGCAACCCTGTAGGACAGAGCAGAACTGCCCCATGGGATTTTCTAGGCTAGAAAGCTTTATGGAAGCAGACTGCCACATCTTTCTCGCGCAGAGCAGCTAGTGGGTTCGAATTACCAACCTTTCAGTTATCAGCCGAGCGCTTAACCACTGCGCCATCAGGGCTCTTGGTTAATCATGGCAAATTAAATTGATCATGATGAAGTTCCATTAATCACAATTTGTCATTAAAATGCATGAATGTCAGGCACCATAAACAACGAGCAGCTCAAAACATCACTGGTAATGCCCCAATAACAAAATGTCCTTCCCAAAAATTGTGAGAATTCCAACTGGCTGTGTGTGTACAAGTGCAGGAGAGCTTTTCACCCTTGCCAAACTTTGCCTGGCAGCCAGACTTCTTAGAAGAGAATTGTTTTAGAGTCTTCTGTGAACTCCAGTTAAAGGCTAATTTTAGTTTATGACTAACAAATTTTACCCCTTTATAACTCAGTTGGTTGCCATAAAAAAAAAAAAATCAAAGCCTGGAATTTTACATCATTCTCCGGTAGGAGCCAAAGAAAAGACTTACATTTTTGGATTATTTTATGATCTCTCAAGAGGCCCCTCTAGGACAATACTTTGAGAAATATTGATCTAGATGAGGGGTGACTAGGGTAGAGAGGTGAGTGGGTATGATTGGGTCCAAGACTAGACAAGAGTCTTGTGTAACTCAGAAATTTTGAGTCTGATGACTGTGCCTGCAATCCATGGAAGAAAGCACAGAAAGAGGTGAGCAGAATCTAAGGGAAGCTGATGTGTTTCTATATGCCCAAACTAAGATACCTTCACTTTTGTGACCCTTTCTCTCAGTATCATCCTTACACCTTATCTTCCTCTAGCCCTAGATAGGACCCTTCACCTCTTTACCTCCTAAATACATCTTGAATCAAACCACTTTTCTTCATATTCACTGCCACCTCCCTAACTCAATCATCTCTCATCCAGAGTGCTGTAATAGCCTAGTAACTGGTCTTCCTCTCATCCACTCATGCCCCTTCCGCTCTGTTCTCTCTACTGCACTGAAAAGAATGATGTTTTCAAACTATCAATCTTATTATGTCAACCCCCAGTCAGAGCCCTTCAGTGGCTTCTATTGTTCTTAGGTCAGGGACTGTATCTTTAGATAACCTTTCAAGGGATTGAGGCCTGCCTTGGTCTCTAAGCCTTAACTTATACCACTCTTCCCCCTTACTTCTGCGCTTCAATTCTATATGCTGTATCCTCTTTCTGGAACACTCTTCACACCCTCCCTCGCACATGTACTCACCCCTAAGAGTTCAACCCCAAACAGCAATTTCCATAACCCATCCCAATGCTCCCTGCCCTGTTCTTGAAGATAGGGATAAGTTTCCT